ATATAAAGTGATCCCGCGGAACGGAGTGCCGTAGCGAAAGGGTTAACACTAGATTGCCCAAGAAAGTAATTTTGACTGCTTTTGGGCAAATGTACAAATAATAAATGACACGAAATTAATTCTTATCGAGATAATTTCGAAGCGGCGGAGAGTGAATAGACGGTAGACGGTGACCAGCGACGAGTCATGCAACGAGGCGTGGAATACCGAAACAATTTCCGATCCTGGCGCCGTTTAATAATGCAGCAGCGATACACAGGGTGTTTACAAACAGGGTCGTGCATACAGATCGCTGGGAAATTCAGCGACGTCGTTCCGAGCTTTTAACATACCGCTTTGGTTGCGCCGTACGCCGCAATCCATAATAAAGACGCAAGGCGATATAGATAAATAATGGATTCATGCAGTCAGTGAACAGAATATGCACCGTGCAGCACCGCGAATGCTCTGCGCGCTCCTCGTGAATTGTAAATCCCCGAGGTTGAATAAGAATCTCCCGTTGTAATTCATTGACGATATTAATATCAGCAAGGTTCCTGGACGTCAGTAGGGATTACCGAAGGGCGAATAGATCGTGTCAGGAAGGGTCAGGAAGACGCGTTGAACCGTTACACGTGCTTAGTAGCCTGTTGCGTGTCTGAAATCCGATGATCGTCAGACGTTGAAGATGTCCAACATCTTGTCATCTAATTGACCGGCAGCTGCTATTCAATTGGATTGTCGATAAATTATTTGCCTAAGTAGTCCACGCGGGTTCTTGTGTCAAGTTAGATTTGTATTCAGACTGCTCGGCTGTCAGGACTATGGAAAGTACTAAGCGTACTGAAACAAGGGCGAATGACGTGACTGGTAACATAGTGCGGCGAGGACATGGACGCTTCCGAAAGGCGTGACATACTGCGTCGACGTGACTACGCTCTTCACCGTCGGAACGAGTTATAGCAACTCTTTATTGCGTTTCTGCAAACACGATTTTCGAATCGTTCGATTTTAACGTGATCGAGATTTCTACTAATGCCACGGTTCACAGAGCCTTTAATCATTCGTGAGGTTAATTCGATTCCGGCAGCTTTCATCCTTCATTAGAAAACTAACCAATAAGTCGAGTGGCTGGCTGAGAGCACTAATAACATCGATTCGTCTTCCAATCGGGACGGCTCGCGCTTCGAGAATAATTTAACGCCCGCCAGGGACGCCTGACCTTCACCTTTTCTCGGTTGATTAATAAATCGTCGTGAACGTTAATTAGCGGCCGAGCGAACGAGGTCATTAGTAATGTCTCCGATCGTGTCGCCTTCTTTACCACCGCAGAACTTTTTTCATTTGTCGACGATTAGTCGGCACGATAAATTTCTGTTCGTAAACGTTGAAATTTCACATGAGGCTCAGCCGTTGCCACAATTTTCAGTTTAACGCGTTCATTAATGTAGAAAGAGACTAGCGAGTCTCAAAAGGCTCTGGGGAAGACCT